TATGGGACCCGGTCAAATCCATCTCAATAGCCAATTGCATATATTTATATTTTATGTTGATAATTATATATTATATGTCCATGCATATAACATGCCATATAGATATAGTGTGCCTACTCATATGTTTTATAACATGTCATGCATACATGTGCATTTATTATTATTTATTTTATTTATTTAAAAGAGTTTTAAAATAATAAAATAAAATAAGAACCATGCGCTAAAATTGATTTAATATGATTAAATTGATTTGCAAAATAATGGTATATGTGAAATTGAATTTAAAAGTTAAATTTTAAAATTTCACGTGTCCGAAAAATAAATTGTTTATGTATCGGGTCTTGAAAAACATGAGATGATTTTCAAATAAAATACATATTTATAAAATAATGAGTGGGAGAGGGTTGTATGACAATACGACCCACTGGTCTCCATCATTAGTTCAACACCATGAGATTCGAAAAGGGCTTCGCAGCGGCACTGATTTCGTACTCCCTACTGAAAGTGTTCTTTCGGATCAATAACAAGGTTGACTTCCTAGCGATAGGATTCAAGGATGTATTTCTGGTTTGACCTATTGATTAACAACCAAAAGTGATGTTCACAAGCGGTCAATTGTAGCACAGAAGGGCGGTCGTATCCACAGAGAGATAACAAAATAACAAGAAAGATTAACAAAATAAGAGCGTTAGAGAGAAATAAATAACAAGTGAATTAAAGAAAAAGAAGAGTTTTTTAGATTTTATTGCAAATAAAATGAAAAGGAGAAAATTTGTATGAATAAAATTCAGTAGTAAAAATGGTAAGGTGTCGAGAATCCCTAATGTTTCGTTCACCAATTCAAGTTTTGATTCACAAAACAAAAAGATCGAATAAATTAAATCTCTATGTTGACTCCAAAAATATTATCATTACAAGTTATCCAAAATTGACAATATATCAATTTGACAATATTGCAGTAAAAGATAATTTGTAAAATAATTTGAATAACAAAACAACGCATGACAGAATTACATAAGAAAAGTGTGATTGAACTTATAGAAAAATTGGCACACAATATTTTGAAAAGGAAAAGAAAGATAGATGAGATTTAATTCATTCGGATGTTGAACTTTACAGCACAAGGAATCAAAAACCCGAATTGGGTCACTCAACAAAAGTTCATCTCTAACCTCACCAAGAGAACTCTAGCCTAACTTACAAAACATTCTCACAAGTTCTAGAGAGAAAATATGAGTATGACAGCAAGACGACAGAAAACTGAATATTTAAAGCTTACAAAAACCTTAGGCTAACCCCTATATTTATAGTGTTTAGAGGTTGTCTGTCAAATAAGGAAACAAACAATAAAAATAGAAAATTACAAAAGAAAAGGAAACAAAATAAAATTACACATAAATTAGGAGAAATCAAATATATGATTTGAGGAATAAATCTAATAATTTGCTTTGATTTTTGGGGAAGAAATTCAGATTCAGCTCTGAAGGGGACACGTGTCGCAATGTGATTGGCAATGAGGAGAAAAATGCACCACGTGTCACGCGCAGAATGGTTGAAGCTTGCTGGCGTGAAATCCATTTATGGATTAAAGCAAGCTTCCCGTTCTTGGAACAAAAGATTTGACCAAGTGGTCAAGACTTTTAGATTCCAACAGAATATGGATGAACCTTGTGTTTATAAGCATATTCAAGATGGGAAAGTGGTTTTACTACTGTTATATGTTGATGATATTCTACTCATTGGCAATGATGTAGGGGCTTTATCATCAGTCAAAGTTTGGCTTACCAAACAGTTTGACATGAAGGACTTAGGAGAAGCTAATTATGTTCTAGGCATTCGAATCTTAAGAGATCGAAAGAACAAAATGATAGCTCTCTCTCAGGCTTCATACATAGATAAAATTCTCGAGAAGTATGCAATGCAGAATTCCAAGAAAGGTGGGCAACCATCTAGGTATGGAATTACTCTTTTGAACAGTAATTGTCCCAAGACATCTGAGGAAAGAGAATACATGGCAAAGGTACCTTATGCTTCGGCGGTCGGGAGCCTCATGTATGCAATGCTTTGTACTCGACTGGACATTTGCCATGCGGCCGGGATTGTAAGTCAATATTAGTCGAATCCAGGACCTAACCACTGGGTTGCGGTCAAGCATATATTCAAGTATCTTCGGAGGACTAGAAATTATATGTTGGTATATTCCAGGGAGGATTTGACACCTCTAAGATTTACAGATTCAGATTTTCAATCATGTTTGGATTCTAAGAAATCGACTTCGGGTTCTATCTTTACTCTGGGAGGTGGTTCCGTCGTTTGGAGGAGTGTCAAGCAAACTTGCACTTCTGACTCAACGATGGAAGTCGAGTATGTGGCAGCTAGTGATGCTTCAAAAGAAGCAGTGTGGCTCCGCAAATTTCTGATGGATCTTGAAGTAGTTCCTGGTGTGGATAAGCCATTGAGACTATATTGTGATAACAGTGCAGCAATAGCTAACACCAAAGAACCAAGATATCAAAAAATGAGTAAGCACATAGGCAGGAAGTATCACATGATAAGAAGCTTTATTGAAGAAGGGCATGTGAAAATATGGAAGATCGTGTCGGAGGACAATATGGCTGACCCGTTCACGAAAGCCCTGCCAGCTAAGGTCTTCGAGAAGCATGTCGAGGCCATGGGGATGCGTAGCATGTCACATTTACTCACTTAAGTACAAGTGGGAGATTGTTAGCGTTTATGCCCTTAGGAATAAATGTAACAATATTCATTGAGACATTTTGACTGTTAATAAAGATTTGTTTATTTCATATATCTATGTATTGTCCTATTTATGTTCATAATAGTTGAATGTATGATAA